AACCTAAAAAAAAAAGTCGATTCAAACCTCTTTTAGCTAAATAGTTCGTTTTTGGATGTTTGTTGTCAATATTGCAGGGAGGCTAAAGTCAATGTTCCTGCATAAACAGCAGTTTTTCTCACGTCATCGCATTTCTTTCACCAATAGAGGGCGCCATAAACTCAGTCATGAAAGCCAGAACATGCAGTAGCTTCCAAACATCAAAAAGTTTCATCATATTGTTAATAAAAGTTAGTTCCAGAACACGCACGGCAACTTTGTTATCATTGCTGAAAACTGAAATTTGGTATGATAGCTTAAAGTTCCTGCTTCTACTTCTTATCCTGCCTATCTGACCGTTTCATCCTGTGACCTCTGTGCACTTTACTTCAGTTCTCTGCATCAGTTTCTCTTCAGTTGTCCACAGTTTTCTATTTTGTTTTGCTGTTTTCAAAAACATCTGCCATCTCCAGTTTGTTGTGTGTTTTTTTTCCTTTAGTCTGTGCTACATCACAAACTCTGTCTTCTTTGACTGTATGATCTAGCTTGCGTTGTAGCTGTTTTTCTGGACAGGTTACACTTCAAAACCAAAGGAAGGGAAAGATATTGGCTCCAGAAGGCAGCCGGGGTTCCCATTTCTTGTGGTCTCATTCCAAAAGATGTTTCTCTCAGTGGGTTCTCACGAGTTTCAGCTTCTGGATGCCTTCTGCATTTGGATCTCCATCGAAAAGGACAAATAAAAGAAGGCACGTTAGGTTGGAATACACCACATTCAAACAGAGTATGTATTAGATCAACAATTTCCAAGCCTACCGTTAAATGTGTAGACTGTATCTTATGTCTTCTCTGCTGCCTGACATTTTAGAGGTGAGCTTGAGAGGCAGCTCTCTGAACCTCCAGAAACCTGCCCTAGAAAGGGTCAAATAAACTGGATATTGAAATCAACTAAGTTCATTTACTCCAGCACTGTAGTGAATTATAATTATGAGTTATTTGTACTTTACTGAAATATTTCTAGTTTGTTTTGCTGCATACTTCTGCTTCACTGCCAGGAAAATTTGTTTAATGTCTCTACTACTTATGTGCTATTAAATGCTCAGTATTTTCATATTGTCGTAAAGATATTTATAATTAAAGGAACTGACCCATCAGTTTTCGTTTTGTAGGTGATGGAAGAGTGGATGCTGGGTTTAAAGCCAAACACTCTTAAAAAAAAGAGAGAGAGAGAGAGAGCGTCACACAATTGTGGAGTCTATGCTTTTATTTGTTTCTGCAAGTTTGCATCTCCTGGTGGGAGCTTTTCTGTTCTCTGTAGCCTGAAAATAGATCCCGTTGAGGGCCAGTCATGGCTGTAGACCACCCCACTTTCCACTCTACTGGCACTTTAATCAGATCCACTGGGAGACAAGAGGAAGGGCTCAGACTCACAGCTGCCTCTCTCTCCCTCCTTTCCCATCCACCCCATTTTTTCTACCTTCTCCCACTCGCTCTTAAGCACCGTTGCAGACTGTTAGTAAAAATGTATGATTTAAATTATTGATGCTAAAGATGCACTTCACCTCTTCCATACTTTGTCAAGATGCTTTACCTGAATTACTTTGCTCATGCCTTCTTGGCAGGTTGTAAAAAAACGGTGGATATCCCCATCTGTGAGGTCCTTGTCCTATAAAAAAATCATCAAAATTCCTTATTGGAATCGTTTGACATAGCAGGAAGGTGACAGTGGGTTAGCAGTGACATTTTTATTTATTTTTATTTATTTTTTATTACTTTGGCAATTTGATTGGCAGTGCTTGTGTGGCCAATTTTAAGGGCCAGCAGTTGCAGTGCCTGAGGAGAGATAATGACGGGATGTCTGGGTAATAATCACAACCAGTCAGAAACAATAATGAATGATGTCTCCCAGAGTCCCAGCGCAGATGTGAAATGTTTTAAAAATGAACCAGGCAGCACGACTAGTCTGTTTTAGTTAAATATATTGGGTAGCTAAATTTGCCAAGCTAACCCAAGGACTTCTGGGTGGAGGAGAATGAATGATGCTTAAATTGTCACTTTATTTTGATGGAAAGTTCCTGTAAAGCGTGGGTCTTACAGCACACACAAACACAAAATCAGTAACACATAGTGATGAGTAACAAAACAAATAAATCATAACTGGGAATGAAATTTGGCGCAGACTGACCTGAAAGCAAAGAAAGAGTTATTTCTTGCTTTAGTGGAGGAAAGGTTGTGCTTTCCTCTCCCACAGATCCTGGTGGCAGCTCCACAGCGTGTGGCAGAGCAGGGACTGTCCATTGTGGTTTTGGCTTCTGAGTCTTTTCTTGCAAAATATCACATGGGGCCACTTTATGCAATCCTGGTCTGGAGTGTGTAGAGCCCATTGTCCTGCTGTCGGTCCAAGAAGCTGACACTTGCAAAATACTTCTCGGTCCAAGCTATATATGTAAAGTTTAATAGTTACAATATCTGTCTTAAAGTTGGGTGTTACTAATAACCTCAGTCACATGATGGCTCTGTGAGCGTAGACCCACTTGTGCTAATATTTCTGTTCCTTTTTGCCCTGTCCTATAAAAATGTCAGTAACTTCACTTTTAAAGGAGTCTTTTCAATTTGCATCATTTGTTTCAGCTGCTTCCAAGCAAACCCAGTGGTCTTCACATCCTCAGCGGCTTTCAAACTTATGATTTGTCCTGGAGCGTTGTTGTGTGGCACCCAAGTAAAAATGCAATAACACTTTTGGAAGAAGTGGTTAAAAGAGTAGGTGTACACTCCATCCCAACCTGACTTTCACATTATAATGAGCTAGGTTTCTATGGCAACTCTCCCTACAGGTTACTTTGTAACTCATAAGTTAATGCTTGAAAGAGCCTGTTATTTTCCTGCACCCCTTTTGCTATCTGAAAGCCCAGAGGGAGCAGAGAGGGAAATTGTTTTCTGACTGAAAAATAGGACTCCAGTAGAGCTCATAAAAGCACCAGGGTAGGAAAAAACTGTTACAGTCCTGGTTCCTATTACACTGCATACAGGAGTTGTTGTGCATTTTTTTTCTGTGCTTGGTAATATTTGGAATTTTTTTAAAGACTGGTATTGTTTTTGTTATCATGCTAGCAGCATGGATCTAGGGATGGCAGTCCCAGTCTATCAGTGTGTTGGTATACTGCTTCCACCTGACTGAAATATTGTGTCAAACAACTACCCAGTGTGATTTTGCAAAGCCACTTGCGGTACCCAATTGCATGATTATAGCGCCACCTTGAGATGGATAGCTGTTTAAATAAAAGGTATTGCTAAAATATCTTAGCAATCAATGACAGCAGGTGCCCGTGTCCCGTGGCTGCTAAACAAGCCCAAATCATCACCCCTCTACCACCGTGCTTGACAGCTGGTATGAGGTGTTTGAGCTGACATGCTGCGTTTCTTTTTTGCCAAATGTGGCGCTGTCCATTATCACCGAACCCCTCCACTTTGGTCTGGTCTGTCCAAATTGTCCAGTTGTTCCAGAAGTCTTGTGGTTTATTCAGATGTAACCTAAGCCATGCGACCAGGATTTCTCCTGGCAACCCTTCTAAACAAGCCATACTTGTTCAGCGTTTTTCTAACTGTACTGCAATGAACCTTAATATTTAACATGCTAATTGAGGCCTGTAAACTCTGAGATGTAGCTCTTGTATCCTCGGACAATTGTCGAATTGTATTGATGCACACCTGAATGCTCCATACAAGCAAAACTGCCAAAACTTGTGCTTTTATAGAGGTACTCACACTTGCTGATGATCAAACAATCAAGTGCATGTGAATAGCAGCACCTGACTGCTACTTACCCTCTTTATTTCTATAGAGGCATTATGGGTGTTTTCACAGGACTGCATATAGTTGTACTTTTTTAAGCATGACTGTATGTATTTTACAAAATACTCTTTCTGCAGCTAAAGATTATAAAAGATCCCTCTGATTAATGTGTTTTATCAGTTTCTAGCTGGATACCAGTGACCATTATGAAAGTACAATTTGAACATTGCATTTTTTTCCTTTTGCTTCTTCAACATCATTTATTTTAATATGTTAAAATGCCACCACAGTCGTTTAGCTGAAACTGTCATCTCAGCAAATGCTTCATCAGAGGTTTCGACTCACTGACTGTGCTCCACCATAACAGCACTGTAGTGTGACTCTTGGGATTGTCTGTTTTCCAAATAGTCCTACTGATGATCTCAGTAGGACTGTTTGG